TAACGGGAAAGTCGCCTTGGTGAATGACTCAGCGACCGAATTGCAAAAAACTGGAGGGTTTAAGATTTGTGTTAGGAACGATGATTCAGGAAAGTGGGAGTTAGAACGAGTTGTGATTCCTGATTGGAAAAACAAATTTAGGCCGCATGTTTTGACTTCTTTCGTAGGTACCCTTGGAACAGGAGAACTTGTTTTCACAGTACCAACCTGGCCGCTTGGTGGATCAGAGTATGTGTTGTATTACAAGACAGGCTCATTAGGACTAAGCGGAACCTTTTTGTTGGAAGGAGAGGATATAGGAGCCTATCACTATGTTCGAGCCTGCTTGAATCATTTTGAATGTCTTTTCCGTTCTACTTGAGGAGGAACAAAACAGTATCGCTTGCCCCTGATTTCATCTATATTTTTAGTTTCTCAAATAAAGATAATAATAGTATAGTAGTTTTATCAATTATGGGTTAGGACTGTGTTTGTCATTCAGTCTCTCAAATGATTATAATACATAGTACGTAGTATACTATAGTGTTAAGGGTTTGTTTTCATTTCTATTGTCGTTAATCTAAACTGAGTGCTAACTCTGATCAAACCTCGAATAATTCAAGCAACCAAAAACGTTAGAACTTTCTTTCCCCTCTCTTCAATCTCTAATTTCGAAGAATTAAAGGTTGGAATAAATAAGTAGTAGTTTGTAACCAGGATGTACATTACAAATTACAAAAGACAAACGTACCCATGTTCTAATGCTGCTTGTGTTTCTTCTTCATACTCTTAATAAACCACATCTCATTAAAAAAATAAAAGCCAATCATATCAAAACTGTACAGCCGTCTCTCTTCCTCCATAAGTGAAGCAATTACTCCACGTTAAAAATCCGGGGATAAAACATATTTTGTTTTTAGAGAGAAGACATCGTTGATGCAGTCATATTCATTAGTAGACATGATCACATAATTAAACTGTATACAAACACTGACTAGGTTTTTTCTCTGCACTCTTCCAATAAACTTTCTCCAGTTTCCCATTGTTGGTTTAAGGACTGTGAAACGACGCTTTTCTTGGTAGTTTTGTTGCAGTACTTTCTCCACTAGCTGCTTACTCCAATGAGTCCTCCAAAATTTTTATAAAAGTTTGGTTCTGTAAGTACACGGTTAGACAAAAGAAAGGGTTTCTAGATGTTTAAATGTTTTTTTTTTTTTAAATACTTTGTTCAGTACCAAATGGGAGAGAGAAAGCGCCAAAAAGAAGCCCATAAAGATGGCCCATGAAGTGAAGGTATAAAAGAAACCCTAAATGATTGGGTTGGGGGAAGGCATCGCTTTGATCTGTACATCTCTCTCTCTACGTCGTTAGGTAGGTGAAATTTTTCAGTCTCTGTTTGTTTTGCCTCAATGATGTTGTGTTGAAGTATATAAACCGAGTGATTGATTTGTACGTTAGGCATAAAAGAAGAAGATGATGAAGAACGTGAAGAAGGCGGGACCAGAGTTCGCGACAGGTGAAACGTTTGTGTGGTGGGACATGGACAGCTGTCCGCTCCCAAATGGTTATGAGCCAAGTCGGGTCGGTCCGAGAATAGACACGGAGCTGAAGAATCTAGGCTACAACGGTCCGCTCACCATCATTGCCGTTGGTAACCTGGAAGGAGTCCCTCTTGACTTCCTGAAAGCCCTCTCTTCCGGTGGAGTCGTTATCAAACAGCTTCAACTAGGTTATAAAGCTCCCTCTCTTTCCTTCTTTTTAATTCTTTTTTTTTAATATATTTTCAGATAAAAAAATAAAAAATGATTTAAATTGGCATGCAGGATCCTCCATGACCCAGTGTGTGGTTGAGGCTTTATGCTCGTCTGAAAGTCGTTTTGAACCTCCGTTGACAATGATGGTCATATCCGCCGTCCATGCCGATCTATTGGAAGATATCGTTTTCTTGGTTCATAAAGGTGGCTCCTCCTCTTACAATCTTCTTCTGGCTTATCCATACGTTACCGAACATGCAGACCCTGAGCCTTCATCCCTACTAGTCGACAACTTTGGTGGAGAGTTTGTCTGGGATAGGTTTGGCTTACTGAAAGGTGTGTTTCTCTCTCTCTCTCTCTACACCACCAAATTTATTTATTAATTACTCGTTCCGTTTCAGAATACTTTTTTTGGTCTCAAATTAAGTGTTTTTTAGAATTTCGAGGCAAAATTTATTAATTTTATATAGTATTCTATTTTTCTATTGATTGAAAAGTGGTTAGGTATATATTTAATTGTGTTTTTATTTTAAAAATATATAAAATTATTAATCTGTGTGCAAAAATTAAAATCAAACTTAATTATTAACTATTAATTATCTGCTCTCCTATACAGATTCAGGGTACGAGACGAGGAGACAGGACACTGGCTGTGAATTGCATTACTGCGGATTATGCGAATTTTCTTCCGACAGCTTTGATGATTTCGCCACGCACCTCACAACTCGCCCACATGCAGATAATGTAAATGCACATCCTAATAAAAAGATTTTGTATCAATACTATTTTTCATCCTCTATTCACTCGTTTCATTCTCTTCTCCATCATGATTTAGATGGATGAGTATCTTGATTACCTTGCGTCCAAGTTTAACAGTGGAGCAGAACTTTATGAGGCCTATAAACTTCGAGAGGCAAGTTTTTTTTTCGAGTAATTTCACTGACAATTTATATATATATCTAATCTCTCACTCCAAATATACCAGCCTTATCTTAAAAAATTGGAGGCAAAAAGACAAGATTTTCTAGAGTGGGCCAATTTTTTCCAATATGATGATGATGATGATGATCCAAAGACTAAGAAGGCAAGTTAGAGTATCTTTTTTTTTTAATACAGAAATTCAAATAGTTTTTTCCCCCGTATTTAAGTATGCAGCTCTCAGAAATTCAAAATTGGGTTACTGACTTATTCTACAACATTCCAGTCAAAAAGCTTGAAGAAGCCAAAGATGCAATCAATGGCAAGTTTCTCTTAACCAAACTTAATTTATTTCTTTAAAAAAACTAATTTCTTAGAAACGACTATTATAATCGCAGGGAAAAAAATTCAAGTTTGGCCTTCTTTGTAAGTTTTCTTCTATAAAGAAGAGGCGTAGTGCCAAGGCAAAGAAGTTATCAAAGGCAAGGTCTCTAAGAAATCTGATTTCTCATAGTAGTTATGACTATGACATTTACATCTGTCATTTTGATTTACTGACGCTGTTATTTTTAAACTATGAAGCTATCAAGGCCAACTGTAAAGCTAGCAAAGGTAAAAAAATTATGACAAATCTGATTTCTCAAAAACAAATATGACTAAGACATTTACATCTATCATTTTGGTTAACTGACTTCTTTTTTTTTGGTTGCTACCAACTGCAGTTGGAGATTGCATAAGAAGCAGATTGTTCTCTTCCAAAGAATGCTACTACCATGTCCTTGTAGAGAGGCCTCTTTTATCTTAATGAAAAAAAAACTTGTCTTGTTGTTGTTGTCTGCTGTTTACAAGTCTTGTTTTTATATTTTGTGTTAGCTAATACTTGCAAATTTCATTCATACATATATACATTGTTATCGGATATATTAACTGCATAGTATAAGTTTTTCTTTTCTACTAGCCATTAAAACGATTTACCTTGATAATACTTGTTATCTTGTATCAATTTTACTCTCTTTTATCAACAAATAAAAATAAAGGAGAGAGAGTACTCATGAAAACTGTGAGATTCTAGAGAGAACACCCGATGACATTCTTTAGGAAGTAACACAGCGGAAAAAAACATACGTATCTTTTCAAAATGTCTTTATAGAGAACGTACTTGTTGTGAATTATATTCCTCACAAATATACTAAAATGCTATATATTGTCTAGAATATCCGATTTCTTATAAATCTCGAGAGATGAAAATTGTTCTGAGCTCTGAGCCCTAAGAGCCGTATCACATCAAAGAAACTACTCAGCACCTGCGCATTGAAGCTTCAAAACACGCATAACCACCAACGATAAAAATAGATTTTAGAAGGATTTTATTATTTAAACAAAATAGATTGTTTTACCATAATAGTATGAATTTGAAAAAAAAATGATGTGAACTTTTGAATCAATTAATATAATTTGATGTTAATATTTGCAAACCTTATCATATACTTCTAATAGAGGAGAAGCTAAGCCATGTTTACTTGCACCACAAGACTGTCACTTGAGTCCTTGACTAATCTCGTCAACCAGCTATTTCTTTCTGTTTTCTGATTCCTATAATAAGATTGACAACATGACTCAAAGTTGATGAAATCTTTGGCGCCATCAATGAATCTGTAAGCTCTCTCTCTCTATCTATCTATGTTTTATCCAGAGGTTATTTTAAGGTTAATTATGTTTTTTTTGTTTTCTTTTTCAGTTGTTTTCCATCAAAATGATGGAAGGTATTGTAGCTAATTCTTATGCTCCAGGAGACAAGTTCTTCATTGACCCTGCAAAGCTTTTACCCCTCTCTAGGTTACTTCCTCAGCCTAAGTAAGTTCATTAGAACATTTGTTATCTTCTTAACATCAGTAGTTAGTTTAGTTTCCCTGTAATATTAGCTGAGAAGTGTTCATCTCTGTAACTGGTATGTTTTTGTTCTTGTGGGGGTCAATCACCGGGTGACCGTGGCGGTCGTGGAGGATTCTCAAGAGGTAGAGGAGGTCCTTCAAGAGGACGAGGAAGTTTCAGAGGAAGAGGACCTCCTCAAGGAGGAGGTAGAGGATTTCCCTCACGAGGTGGTGGTCGTGTAGGCTTCAGAGGCAGAGGAAGAGGATACTAGTAACTTTATCCAACTTGTAACTTTTATTGTATCAATGACTGTTTGTTTCCCACATTATCAACTTTTGTTTAATCAAATGTAGTAGAAAAATTGCTTCTGATTAGCTTCTATTTTGATTGAAAAATTGAAAGATTACATTGCAATTTTATTACTGAGAAACATAAGGATTATGTGAGTTATTATCATTGAACTTGCATATGGTTATTTTAAGATCCCCAACCTCTTATAACAGTAGCTTGAGCCACACGGTTGACACCAAGGGTGAAAGCTCCCATACGGAGATCACAAGAGTGTGTCTTACACATCTCTTTCAAATCTTTGAATCCGCGAGTCATGTAATTCTGTAGCTCCTTGTTCACCTTTTCCTCTTCCCACATGAATCCTTGTATGTTCTGCACACAGTACACACCCACAACTCAGTGATTTGGATGGAGTGAGCTAGGTTCCTACATTGTTAGTTAGAGTGTCATACCTGAACCCACTCGAAGTAACTTACAGTAACTCCTCCTGAGTTTGCGTATATATCTGGAAGGATCACAACACCTTTCTTCCTCAATATCTACATAGAAAGATAGTATTGAGTCTTTGTTACACCCAAGTTTGAGAATAAGACAAAGAATCGGATTTTCTAACCTCGTCAGCCTCAGGATCAGTCGGATGATTAGCACCTTCGATGATGAACTTTGCTTTAATCTCATTTGCATTTTCCCTACACACAACCATACTCGAATGTTAAGAGAAAAAAGGTTAACTTGTGTAGCAAGAAAGTAAAAAAGGACCTGTTGATGACGCCTCCTAGTGCTGCAGGGACAAGAACATCACAATCTTCAGCAAGAACTGAATCAGGATCGATAGAATCAGCACCATCAAACCCTTTGATTCCTCTGTTTTCTTCGGTATGTTCGAGCAAACCAGAGATATCGATTCCATTCTTGTTCTTGATTGCTCCTGTGACATCACTAACCGCTACAATCTTCCCACCTTTTTCATTTATCAACTTTGCTGCCCAAGAACCTACATTTCCAAAACCCTAAAAAACAGAGACAGTATGAGTTTCTTCACACGCAATCAACCTACAGAAAAACCTTTATAAATTAATAATTGATAAATTAATATACATTAAAAATCTCTATAAATTAATATAATTTTATAGTTCCAAATTAATTTTTTGGTTCATTTAGTATATCGATAAATTAATAATCTCTATAAATTAATAAAAATTATAGTTTTGGTGTATATTAATTTATAGAGGTGTTCAGTGTATTTTAATCTGAAAACTTGTCATCTTGTTGTACCTGGATGACGAATCGTTGTCCAGATATGCTCTTTCCATGTTCATTGAGTAAAGCTTCTGTTGCAAACAACACTCCTCTTCCTGTAGCAGCATCTCTCCCAAGAGATCCACCAAGATCCTGCTCAAAAACATCATCCTCAATAATCATATTTCATTTGACCTAATTCTCGAGTAGAATAGTCACTTACAATGGGTTTTCCTGTCACAACAGCAGGAGAGTGTCCATGGAACTTCGAGTATTCATCAAGAATCCATGCCATTGTCTTTAAAAAAAGGGCATCATTATATTTCAGACAACAACAACACATAAGAACTCTAGTACAAGAAGATTTTAAAAGATGATGTTTACAAAACCTGAGGACCAGTTCCCATATCAGGAGCTGGAACATCGGTATGAATCCCGATGAGATCATGAATCTTCTGTGTGAAAACTCGAGTCAAACGTTCGAGCTCTGAGATGCTTAGCTCGCTAGGGTCACAACCAATGCCTCCTTTGGCTCCACCGTAAGGTATCTTAGCCACTGCGGTTTTCCATGTCATGAGTTGTGCCAAAGCGTTTACTTCATCTGGTTCCACCTGTAAAATAACCGAAATCCGGTTAAGAGCAGACCAAAATTGAAGTTGTTTTGGTTTGAAATGAAAGCAAACCTCTGGATGATATCTGATGCCACCTTTCATGGGACCTCTTGCGTTGTCATGTTGGACTCTGAATCCAATGAATGATGCAAGAGTTCCATCGTCTTTTGGTATGGTACATTCCACCTGCAACAATCGGTTATATTCCGGTTTAGTGATCTCTAACCGGATCGGTAAGAAAACAGAAAACATACCTTGATTTCTCTGAAGGGAATGAGAAGACTTTTCTCAAGCTTTGAGTCCAAACCAAGAAGCCTGGAAGCTAGCTTGAAGTTTCTGTTGGTTGCTGCTAAAGCATTCATGGTGTTCTTTAATTTTTGGGTTTATTCTGTGAGAGGCTTTGATAAGAAAGCTATTGGAAAAATGTGTTTCTTGATATTGCAAGTGTGTTTATATATAGAGAGAGATACGTACACACTTTGTATTTATGTGCGTCTGTGTGTGTTTGAGTGCTTCATGAATTAGAAGAAGAAAACTATATAAATGAAATTATTTTGGTGGCAAATAAATGAGAGTTTGTATAAGGAAAACGAATAACCAAATAATATGATACGGCCATAATTGATCCTGATTTTGAGTGGTTATAGTAGTATGTCTTTGTTTAGTAAAGTAATTTTAGAAATTGCAAATGTCTTTCATGAGCATGAACAAGACCAGGAAAATTCTACTTAATTCGTGCATAGTCTTTATTATTACATTGTAAGACTTCTATTTGTTAAAGATCATACTGTAATAGATTTATGAGTCACGATAATACATCATATTTTTCTTCTATTATATATTTCTTGCAATCATTTACAAACTGGTGATATTCAATTTGCAATGAATCTTGCATGTCATGAGATCTTTACGTGTTATTAACTTATTCCATCCTATTAGTCCCTTACATTTATATAGCGTATACACTTTTGTGAGTAGTGACAAAAAAACGTATAAACTTATGTGAGTTAGTGGGACAAAAACGTATACACTTCGTTCATATAAATAATATTCAGTCTTTATTGTAAATATTCTTCGCATATATATTCTTTTTAAATCCTCGAATAAGAATCTTTAGAAAATTAGAGGAGGACACGGGAGGATGCAACAAATCAAGAAACATAAAGAATTACAAGATTCCACCATCAAAGAATCTTTTGGAAAAGAGATTCCCCCCCATGATTTATGCTTCCACTAATTAACTGAATTTTGTGTGGATTTCCACCAAGATTTTCTTTCCCTTTCACTTTCCTAAAGTAGATATTAAATCTGGTTAAAACAATGACCATAACGTAGTGTTGCTAAATTTGATCCAACCTCTTTGGTCAACCAAATAAAAAAACATGATAACCCAAGAAAGTTCGGTTTAGAGTGGCTAAAGTGTCACGGTTCTTTTGCTAAATTTGTAACGAGTCTGGGCTTTTATATCCTCTAGATCAGACCAACTCAATTGTAACTTGATTTACATATTATTAAACGTGGAAGAAACTTAATGAACTCGGTTAAGCCTAATGATCGAGTTTGTTCAATTTAGTCTCTCGTAGTTTTAATATGTCTTTCAAGTTTGGAGAGCTTGATTTGCCCAATTGATATTTGGATGTTGTTATCTTAAAAGATAATATGGGTCTAGTGTAATCAAAGACTGAAAATAGATTAAAAACTTTGGTATGACATGTATCTTAATTAACTAATAATAATGAAATACAAACTAGTCAAATGATTGAATACTTGAGTATGTGTATATAAGTGTTAGGGAAAATAAAATTGGATTATCTCTAATGGTGGTGTCTTGATTTGAAAATTTTAACTAAAATAACGGACATGTGTCCAAGAATTATAGTCTAATTGGATTTGTAATGCATGTCATCGAAACTTGGATGCACCAATAATATTGAGTTTGTTGATGAATCAAAATATTCAAATGAATGTACACACATTGTACATCTTTGAAGTAAATAATCTGCTTTTGATCTTGTGATGTTTTCTTGTGTTGTGAGAATTGAGATTGCTATAAATGTTACTAAAATGTAACAATATTTGATTGTTGCTATAAATGGGCCAATTATAATATATAGTTGTATTTAATAGGTTAGACTAACAAATGAATATGTTCAAATAATCTTTTAAATAGATTTTTTGGGGAATGATTCTCTTTTAATAGTGTAAAGATTATTTTTTTTTATTGTGTTTTGACTACTCAGCCACCTCATAATACTTACCAATCATCATTCGAAAAGTAAAGTCTTGCTTATTCTCTCCAGCAATTTTAATCATCATCTGAATACCGTCAATGGAAAATTCAGGTTGCACAAGTTTACAGTTTAAACATTTACTTTTACAGATCTTCATAATTTTCTTAAGCCTAAACTTGGGCTTCTTTACCTTCAAAATTGTTTTATAAGGATCGACATACTTCATAAAACAAATAAAATAGTCTTCATGTAGCCGATATGAAAGTATAAAAGAATGAGAAAAACAAGAGGTATTTACCTTTTCAGCTAAAATCTCTAAGCAATAGTAGCAAACACACTGAAGAACCCATGGAATAGTCTTCATGAACAAGGTATTCACCAACATGTACTACTGACATATTACACCGAAGAAAAAAAAGGTATCAAGCATCAGATATATCAAAACAAGAGAATACAGAGCAATAGAAGCTTCTCACAATGTCTTTGGAGCTGATAATCCCAAACTGGATAGCAGTGACATCTATAACCTTAGGGGGCAAAACCTGATTGTTCCAATTTTTGTTGAAATAATCATGATTTTAAGAGAACAATTGACATGAAACTAAAGTTATTAGTTGTAGCTTTTGAGAAGAAGAAAAAAATGATAAATGGTAATATTCTCCCCTCAGACAGATAAAAAATTAAGTATTAGGACAAATACAAAACGGCCAAATGACATTATTAGATAGATCATAAGATGTTTTTTCACTCTTGACATCAACAAGAACTAAAAATCTAAACAAATGACAACGACAAATAATAAAGTTCCAAAACCAATTAGTCTCTCAACTTATAAAAAATGAGAAGAATAAGAGATCAATGTAGAAAAGTAAAAAAATTGGAATACATTTTCAAAAGTGTTGTGGAATAAAGAAGGTTGTTGTAACTCTGTGTATTGTCTTATTAATCACGTGGTCACATACATACATATATATACATCCTTAAGCTTAGAGATAAACATAAACCTAAGCTGATAAGGATTACAACAATAAAGGGGATGATTATCCTAATCCTATAATGATTAGGATAACTACAACATATGGATAAACACAAGGGNTTCTAGTGTCTCTTAATGCCTTCTGGAACTCCATTAAGATATGGTCATGTCGTGCATCTGATGCCACTGACCATTCTATGTCCTGGTTGGACTGATTTCCTTGTTGGACTGGTGTCCTGGTCGGATGGTACTTGACCAGTACTTGGATGGACTTATGATCTGCATACAACCATTGTTTGCAGGCCCATCTCATGTCCCCTTATGTCCCACGGATCCACTGATCATATGGCCTAGCCATTTCGTGGACATCCTATATAGAGTCTTAGACCAAAACATATATGTGAACCATCCTTAGGTTCTCATGGACACTCCTAGTCCATTTGGTCTTGTCCATTATGGTCGATATTCTTTCCTATCCTTTGGGTAAGTTCATGTTAAGTAATAGACCTTAACTATCACGTCCATAACCTATGAGTTACCTCATCAGTTGCTGCAATGAATATTATGATCACATCCAACCATGGATCTGCAGCAAATGCTCATGGACCTTTATACATGACTTATCGACCTTCCTTGCCTTTAGCAATACAATATCTATTAGGACTTAACCATGCCTACTTTTGGTCACTCTTTTGGACTCTTATAGTTTTCTTTAATCCATTAGTACTAGCCTAATGGTCGTGCCTTCATTCAAGTCCCACACTATAACCTTTGTACTTAAACATCACATACCATACTTCCTTTGATGGTGTCCCATGACCTTCTTATATTAAGCCACGTACTGAAGTACATTATGGTCATGGACCTTACCCACACATGTCAACAACTCGCCAATGAGTGGTTATATCATAACCTAATGTTGCCTTAACAACATGACTTGTGTGTGGTGATGTATAGGTATAGTTTATACTACATTGGTTCCTTAGGACCTTTAAACTATGCACCTTGATAGCTTAGTACCTCTAGGTCATAACCACGTTTTGAACCAACATATTAGTCATCACACCATGGATGATTGGACTTAGAATGTAACCGGACCTTAGCCTTGGTCGGTATGAACTTTGGTATGGACCATACGGCTTCCTTAGCCTTTCCATACGTCCACTTCTTATGAAGTTTGGTAGTGCTGATTTCAACACATATGCCAATGACTTAATCATTGAACCATTCATCCTTCCTTAGGATAAACATAAAGGATTATACACCTTTTGTATAATACGCATGGACTGATTGTACTAAGTATTTCTTAGTATTCCATATTACTTGCAGCTGCATAATATCAGTCCATGAACAGCTTAGGAACAATGCTGTTCTTGAGAATTCCTTTCCTCATTTTCATGGTTTTCCTTTAACCATTAATCCAGTGAACCATATGCTACTTACGACCTCACTATATGTCAACTTATGACCAGACATTTGCCAATTTCGAATTTGACTAGTAGCATCCACCACTTAGGAGTTTATCTCCTAATAATATGTTCCTATGTCTCGTGTAAGAACATGAATACCCTGAGTTCATTTTAACCTTTTCCTCAGGGATTCATATACTCACAAGACCTTACTGGTTGATGGTGTTCCAATATGGCCAATACACACATCATGCTTTATATATACTCTGAACCCCATGATTATGATCTATGAGTACTCTTTCATGGGTTCATGATCCTCATTCCATTTCCATAAATATCAAGTGCTATTTGCCTTATGAGCTCACTTATATCACTGGTGTTAACACTCTCATATAGTTCCATTTTANCCTTACTGGTTGATGGTGTTCCAATATGGCCAATACACACATCATGCTTTATATATACTCTGAACCCCATGATTATGATCTATGAGTACTCTTTCATGGGTTCATGATCCTCATTCCATTTCCATAAATATCAAGTGCTATTTGCCTTATGAGCTCACTTATATCACTGGTGTTAACACTCTCATATAGTTCCATTTTACTCAGACATGATCTAATCCATTTTAGATCTTATCTATCCAGGACCTTTCCTGCCTTGTAATCTTGGCGTCCCAAGCTTACATGGTCTGGTACCTTAGATGTTCACCTGGCCAGGTTTTCCTTCTATGTCTGGTTAGTTTC